TCACTCCTCTCATGCTGGCATCTCTACGAAATGGCAGCAGCCCCGATTGTGGCAGCATGCTGGGAGAGGAAGAAGAGGAAAGTGGTGCTGACGAGCCTGGCACAAACGTCATTACCGACTTGATTGGCCAGGGTGCGTCACTCAATGCCCAGACAGATCGCACCGGAGAGACAGCACTTCACCTTGCTGCACGATATGCCCGAGCAGATGCTGCCAAGAGACTGTTGGATGCTGGCGCTGACGCCAATGCTCATGATAACATGGGCCGCACCCCTCTACATGCAGCCGTGGCAGCAGATGCCCAAGGAGTCTTCCAGGTAAGGGGATGTGCTTCTACACACGTGACCTGTAAAGCCTAATTTCATAATGAAGTAAAGAGTTTCCACAGTCATGGAAAACCTGGAAATATCAGTGAATTTTTCAAAATAGTGATTTCCATGCCTGGAAAAATGAAGGAAATCAATCAATAATAGTGATTAACTTTCTTTTTTCACTTTTCAAATAAAATGTTGTTACCTACCAATTTTTTTTAAGAATATTGTGATGAAGCGGTTTCTTTAATCGGCATGTTTTTTGTTTATTCTGATAACTACTTTGATTGTAACCCCTACAGTAGTTGTCTCCTGAATTACCTTGTTTATGATTAATTTTTGCACAGCTAGTGTGGTATTGTTATATTGTGAAAATTTTCAGAATTTTTGTGTGCTCATACCAATCATTACTGTTATATGTTACTCTAGATTCTGATCCGGAACCGTGCCACGGATCTTGATGCTCGTATGAATGATGGCACCACACCACTCATCCTGGCAGCCAGACTGGCAGTAGAGGGTATGGTGGAGGAACTTGTGCACTGCCATGCAGACGTCAATGCAGTGGATGACCATGGTAAGATCAGAATAAAGAACTTTGTTGATAAATGAACAGGAAATAAAATGCCCTATTTAATTCTGTCATGCTCATCTCATCCACAGGCAAGTCGGCTTTGCACTGGGCAGCCGCTGTCAATAATGTAGAAGCCACTCTAGCGCTGCTGAAGAATGGAGCCAATCGAGACATGCAGGACAACAAGGTAGTCTTGCCACGTCTATTATGTTTATGTGCATATTTAATCACTTTTTAAACACACAAATGTTTTAGGTGTCAGCCAAACACTTCAGTTTCGTTTGTTGTGTGATGTAGGAGGAGACCCCCTTGTTCCTGGCTGCCAGAGAGGGCAGCTTTGAAGCGGCTCAAGTTCTTCTAGATCATTATTCAAATCGCGATATCACCGACCATCTTGACCGCCTGCCTCGTGATACAGCGCAAGAACGAATGCATCATGACATAGTGCGTCTGCTGGACCAGTACAACTTGGTGCACAGCCCACACTCCGGGCCTAATCACGTGGGCAACGGCGGACACTCTTCGATGGTCTGCGGAACAAATGGCACAGGATTCATCATGGGCATGCGTCCAGGACCGCAGGGCAAAAAGAATCGCCGAGCCGGAGGAAAAGCAAGTGCTGTCTCAGCTGGGACAGCCAAAGATATGAAAGAAATGAAGGCCAAACGGCGAAAGAAGCCGACCGGAGGAGAGGGGCCGAGTGTGGTGGCTGTGCCCGGAGCTGGAGGAAACGTCACCAAAGCAGCCAGTGGTCTCTCAGAGAGCTCAGTCACCATGTCACCTGTGGATTCCCTGGAGTCACCGCACTCGTACGCCGGAGAGGCTGTGGCCGCCTCTAGCACAGCGAATTCTCCCCCTCTGCTCAGCAGCCCGTCAACGAGGCCCATGTTGCCCCCTGTAAGTCACATGTTGGGCCAGCAGCAAAGCTGGGCAGGTTTGGCCAAACACAACTACAATAACCACATGTTTGGCCTCATGTCAGCCCACCAGATGAGTGCAGGCCACACCAGCATGCAGCAGCACCACAGCCCGGGCATGCTCACCCCGATGAATGTCACCATGAGCCGCGAACAGCTGCCGCCCATCGTCACCTTCCAGATGATGGCGACAGGCAACGGGCAGAGCCTGCTCAAGCAGGCGCAGCAGGGGCAGATACAGGCACAGGGGCAAAATCAGACACAAGGTCAACACCTACACTGCAACCAGGGGATGATGTTCCCCATTCCTGATGTGGGAATGCAGCACGGCCTACCGCACACCCTTCCGCACCCCCACGCTCACAACCACGCGCTTCCTCACGGGCTGCCAGAGAGCCAGGCAAGGCAGGTGGCATCCTATCAGCCACGCCAGAGCCCCGTGGATAAATATCCCACGCCACCTTCCCAGCACAGCTACCCCACGGCCGGCTCTGAGGGAACCACCCCCGGTCATCCCGCACACAATCCCAGCGAACACCCCTACCTCACCCCCTCGCCCGAATCGCCTGACCCCTGGTCCTCCTCGTCCCCCCACTCCAACTCAGACTGGTCCGATGTCACCACAAGCCCCACCCCTCTAGGAAACCCCCGCACACTTCCTCCCTCCTGCCACACACACATTCCCGAACAAGCCCAGCTGCAGCCCCAGTCTCAGGCTGCGCAGCCAACGCAGTCCCAGCAGTCCCAGCGCAGCAGTGTGTACGCGTAGGAACTCGGACCTTTGAGAGTTTAATTGCACGGCCGTTTTGATTCTCTTTGATCAGCTTACAAGGGAGTGGCCAACTGTCCTTCTCTCCACCCTCCATGTCTGTGTTACGCTCTGCATGTTGACTGTGAAGTTTGCGTATCGTAAATTCCTACTAGCCTGAATATTTAATCTCACAGGAGCCCCGAACTAAACAGAGAAACAGCTTTAACAACACGGGACTTCCGTTCACGGCCATCTACGACCCGAGGCCCTTTTGCCAATGGACAAATTACACCGCCAAGCTAAGGAGTCCGTTATTGTCCAGAGTTTTGAGATGTTTATTTCACATTTTAGTCAAACCTTTTTATGTCTTGAAGGAAATTTTCTCATTTAATCTGCTATCTTTTTTTTTTTTAAATCATTTTTGTCAGATATGCTTAGTTGGTACCAACCTTAAAGGGATAGTTTACCCAATGTAATTATATACCCTAAATAATAATAGTCAAAGTGGTTTAAGGTTGTTTTGAACCCCATTGTATAAAGAGAAATTTAGTTGAAACATTCTTAAAAATATTTTCTTTTGTGGTACAGGTTTGGAATGACATCAGGGCGAGTAAATAATGAATAATGAATATTCGTTTTTTGAGTAAACTATCCTTTTAACTGATAATTTAAATAATATTTTTATATAATGGGTCAGCTTCAATGTCTTCTAAGTTTTTGCTTAGATCAATTTTTTGTTGTGATGAAATGTTTCTTAAATGAACTGGTGGTACTTGTCTATTTTGTGTGTGATTGATTGGTAGCATTTATGTGCTCCAGACTCATGCCCACATACATCTCATTCATTCATGTGTGGTTCAGAGCTAAACTGTGGTGTAAATAGTTAAATGTTACTTTTTTTTTTAAAGATCTATTTCTATGCTGTCTGTTACGGTTTATCCTCTGCTTTGCCAATTATTACAAGAGGTAAGAGGAGGTGTGTAAATATGTATGGGTTCCACTTTGTTTCTTTTGAAATCGTATGCAGTATTCAGTGGAAGCACACACATGACAGAGGTTTGAAGAAGAATTCCAGCAGCCATCGTCAAGCCGCTTGAGCCTTTCGGAAAAGGAAACATTTAGACGAATAATATTATCAGTGCTTTTTACAACATATTTGTAACCATTGTTACTATTTTTATTTGTTTTGTTCTGCTTTTTTTTGTTACTGTATATTAATAATGTAAGCAGTTTAACTGGTTTTGAAGTTCTACCTTTTATGTACATGAGTTTTACATGCATGTCATGCATTTTCTTTCTTAATTACAATCAGCCTGTCCGTGCAACCGTTTAAATCACTTGACAATTTAGAAATCATACTTTATACAATTTAAATGTACTGTTTCACTTTTCTGTTTTGTGTTATGAGCAAAGCTTTATAAAATTGATTAGTACAATCACATTCTTTTTTTTGTGTGTGTTTTGCACAATAAAGCCCCTGGGTCTCTTAAATGCCAAATAAACACTCATAATAGTATTTAGAAATGCATGCATACATTAGCCAGAGTGGTGATAAAATACTAAGGTCTTATAAATTTCCGGTATGCTGTATTTGTTCAGATGGGTGGGTCAGTTATATTGTATGTGCTCAAGGTCAATATCAAGAGAGTCTGCTTATGCAAATAAAAACATGTATGTACTATAGGCTCCATATGGCATATTCTTTCTGATATCGTGTAGCACTTAAGGGCCATTCAACAGTATGATCTTTAGTGTACTGAAACCGGAGGAATTTAGGGTGTTAGTCCACCAAATAAAGATCAAAGCCAAGTTTTTTGAGCATCTTATTTTCACCCGAATGTAATGCAAAGCTATTTTTATATATGCTGTATATAATTTTGTTTTGTTTTTTATGCCTATTGTACTTTTCTTTTCCTGTCCACCAAATATATGCATACAGTATGCTAGAATGAAGTAAATGTTTCATCTTAGTGTTTTGTAGATTCAAATTTGTGCTTTAAAGAACAAAAGCCTGTGTAATGGAAATAATTCAAGACAATTGATGATATAAAATAGAGATGAAACTAATAAAGAAAAACCTTTACAAATTTATCTAGTTAAATTACTGAGTTCCTTTCTGCTGCTTGTACACACTAACAAACGTAATTAAACATCCCATTATTTGATTAACATTCACTCTCAACCATTGAAAACTATCTATCTATCTATCTATCTATCTATCTATCTATCTATCTATCTATCTATCTATCTATCTATCTATCTATCTATCTATCTATCTATCTATCTGTCTGTCTGTCTGTCTGTCTGTCTATCTAACTGTCTGTCTGTCTATCTAACTGTCTGTCTGTCTATCTAACTGTCTGTCTGTCTATCCATCCAAATTAGGTCCAGTTCAACTTTGAAATAAATTGAACATCATTCTGTCCGCCAACCGACAGGTGGCGACAACGACTCATAATCAAATGATCGAAACAACAAAACACTAGGAAGTACTGCAAGATTGTTAAGCTTCAAGAAGATTTTATACACTTCATTTGACAGTCTGGCTTTCATTCTTGATAGACGAGGGAATCCGCCAAAATGTATAGCAGATGACCATGCGGCATGAACACCCGGATCGGTTGATTTTATCAAATAATAATAGCTTAGCAGCAGTAGCTCTTAGTGTTTAACCGTCAAAATAAGACACTGCTGAACTATTTAGCTAACTTGCTCACTGAATGTAGTTTCAACTTAGGTAGAACTTGCAAGGATGGATCTTTGACGTGGTTTAAACTTTAAAGTTTATGTTTGCCTTCAAACTCCTACTCATAAACTGCAACTCTTCCGGATTACTGCTATAACTTAGTCTTCTGAAAAGGTAAGTTAAGACTATGAAAATGTATGTAATATTTACGTTTAAAAACTAATTGGGATTATAGATTTGTGTTAAACATTTGTCCATGTCATTGTGACTTGCGATAAAACATATAGCTAGATATTTTGTTGTTGTCTTTCATGTTTTTGTCATTTATATTTATTTATTCATCTATTCACAAGTAAATTAAGAAATCAAAATTTTCTGAAAATCTCTGAAATAATGTTTTGTGATTCTATATTTAATATTTCTGTATCTAATGTTTCTGCATATTTTACATATTTGTGTCCTCAGTTAAAGGAATAGTTCAACCGGAAGTGATATAAATAATTGTTGCGAAGTGTGATGAGTATTATTTACTCAACCTCATGTTGACTTTATTTCTTCACTGGAAACAAAAAAGTTGATGAGCCGTATAACAGCCTCAGTCACCATTCACTTTGGTGACCGATTGCAACAACATGAGTGTGAGTAAATGAGGACACACTTTTCATGTTTGATTGATCCATCCCTTTAATTGTTTAACATTTCATTCCTAAATTTATTTTAGTAAACTGTAGGGTTAATGTTTGATTTCTTTGGTCAAGGACACTATATTGTGTGGATACTATATAGCTCTGTATATCAGTGTTGTTTATAGCCATTAATGTTTACAGAGCAGCTTGCTTGTCAGACCCAGCTGGGACAATATTGTATTTCAACATCTGTCTGCTCTTTCCCCTTTTCTGCCTCATGTCACCCCAGTCTGTCCTGGTCTCCTCGTGAGAGGCTGTCATCATGGCATCAGCCAAGCTTAAGTACCTCTCTCTGGGGGTCCTGGTGTTCCAGACCACGTCCCTGGTGCTGACCATGCGTTACTCGCGCACCTTACAGGGCGACGGGCCACGTTACCTCGCCTCCTCTGCCGTGGTGGTGGCAGAGTTCCTCAAGATACTCACCTGTGTGGGGCTCGTCTTCAAAGATAACAGTACGTTTCATTGTGCCTCCTTTTCCTCCTTGAGATTGTTTTGAGTATACCTTCCTGAAAGCACCTCAAGAATGAAGTAGCTATTCTTTATCTCAATGAGCTTATTGAACACAGAACAAATAGTTCAAAAGTAAATGTTTGTGAAGAGACACAATTTACAACACAGAATTTACAAATCTACTCATCAATTTCTTTTCTGACATTGTGCCTGAGATTGTAAATATTTTTCAAAGATTTGAAACCACTAACCTGGAAAACTTTTTCGTAAGTGCTCATAATATCAACCTGGTACCTTTTAAACAAGTTCACCCTTGTTCCTAGATGTTACAGTATGATGCTGTCAGGTAATCTGACTGGAGCTATTTTCACAATAAATTTTAAAAAAGTATCTTATGCCCACTAAGGCTGCATTTATTTAATCAAAATATACAGTAATACAGTGATATTGTGAAATGGTATTTTAGTTAAAAATAATAAAATAGTATATGTATTTTAATATATTTAAAAATTGTATTCCTGTAATGGAAAACCTAAATTTACAGCATCATTATGCCAGTCTTCAGTGTCACATAATCCTTCACAAATCATTTTAATATACTGATTTGCTGCTCAAGAAATATTTCTGACCACCCAGCATATTTGGGTTGAGGGTGATATTTGGGTTTTTATATCTTTTATTTTGTGTTTATATGTCTATTTCAATTTATTTACAGCATATATGTTTTATTTAAATTACTTTAATTATATGAGTTTGCACTGGACAGTCCAGTTGCGTTTTCTGAATTCTGAGTGACAGTTGGGAGTTGAGTGTTGCCATGACAACTGTGGCGCATCCTCAAACAACACAGAGAGGACCACTGGAATAAAACACAGTTTGGTCTCTCTCACTCTCATTTATCACTAAAGTTTAGTAAAAATGATAAAATTTCAGAAAACAACAGTTATTCAGATGCTTCTACTATATTAGTGCAATTGGGTGTTTGTTTCATGAATGATTTTGCTATATTTATAATAGAAAAGTCTATTAGTGTGTCATCTGTGTGAAACAACTGTGAGAGAGTCTTAAATATTGTATTATTATTGTAGCTGTTGTTTGATAGTGTGTATATTTGTTTATTTATTTATTGAGAGTTCATGGTATTGAAACTGATTAAAAAAAAAAAAAAATCAACACAGAGAGGACCACTGGAATTAAACACAGTTTTGTCTCTCTAAAGGGAGTACTACAGTATCAATGTTAACAACAATAAATGAAACGACCCCTTATATATTTGAACGGTAATGAAAATTAAATAATGTGAGGATTGGAATCCTATATATATGTCGCCTGAGTCTGAGTCTACATCGGGGAGGAATGATTGCTGGGTGTAACTAACTTACTGTATCTGTGTGGAACAGGTTACAGCGGCCGAGCACTGAGCAGTATTCTGAGACAGGAAATTCTACACAAACCTATAGAGACGCTGAAGCTGGCGATTCCTTCTGGGATCTACACGCTACAGAATAACCTGCTCTACGTAGCGCTCTCCAACCTTGATGCAGCTACCTACCAGGTAAGTCCAAATGCATTCATTAGTTGCATAAATTATATTATGGCTACCATTATATCGATATTTTATGTATCCTGTGGACTTCTAGGTGACATACCAGTTGAAGATCCTGACCACAGCCCTGTTTTCTGTGTTTATGCTGGGCCGCAGGCTCGGGGTGTACCAGTGGTTGTCTCTGCTAATTCTTATGGCTGGTGTTGCACTTGTACAGGTAAAGGTACCTTGATTAGCGATTAACTGCCAAAAAATGTGTTGCAATCTTTGATGTATTAATGTAATTCATGATTTCTTGTTTGGACAGTGGCCAGCGGACTCCACGTCAGACCCTCAGAAAGAGCAGCCGACTGCAGGCTCACAGTTTGTGGGGCTGGTGGCCGTGTTGGTGGCCTGTTTCTCCAGTGGGTTTGCTGGCGTCTACTTTGAGAAGATCCTTAAAGAGACCAAGCAGAGTGTTTGGATCCGAAACATCCAGCTTGGTAAGTAGTTTTCAAGAATTAAAACATGGATCATTGCAGAAAATGAGATCTGTGGCTAACAAAAGCTTATGATTCTTACTAGAGTTGTTCTGATTCCGATACTAGTTTTAGAAATGGCATCGATACCAATAAAAATCCTGGAATCGGTATTGGCGAGTACTTCTACCCATGTAATGATCCGATACCATTTTCTTAAACAATATCTAGTTATGCACGCTAGCTTTGCTTAACGCTGCGAATCAGAGATCAATTCTTCTTTGCTGCTCTAAACAGTGGTTGGTTGCTTGTGGCAACACAGAAAGAGCAGCGAAGAATAAAACGCGCACGCTAGCAATGTGTCCGGTGCTTGGCAGTATTTAAGACTGGACCAACCAGCCAGTAAAATGGCGACATGTCTCATATGCCATACTGGAATTTCAAGGAGTGGAACAAGTATTAGCAACTTCAACACAAGTAACTTAAGCATTTGAAGTCGCGTCACCCCGCAGAACACGATTACACAAAGGCAAGGGCAGAGAAGAATGAGCCACGCCAGAATCAACAATCTCTAGAAGCTTCATTTAAACAAAGAAATGTTTTCAAAAGACAGCCAACGAGCGATAAATATAACTGACAACATGTATTGAGTTTATTGCTCTGTCTGGGTGAACCAGCCGCTGTCAACTGAAATGCCGTTTATTTAACAAAATTGTTTATGGACTTTAAATTATAAAGAGATTATTTTCTTATATTATTCATGTATTATTTTTTTAGATTCCTATATTATTTGTTGCACTTTTTTTATACAGTTATATCGTAGAACTAAAATGATAAATAATATATTGCTGTGAAATGGATGTCAGATAATAAAAATACTCTAGTTCACTGTATGTATTTGTTCATGTTTAATTAAGGGATAAGTCTGAAGGATACCATAAAATAATTCTATCAATTCATACAGTGCTTGTATGAATTGCAGCTGTATAGATACTGTACACACTCAGGTATCGGATCAGTGCTCCGTATCGGCCGAGTCCAGGTATCGGTATCGGGAAGGAAAAAAGGGTATCGGAACATCTCTAATACGTACATGCTTTGTTCATCGTGATAGGAATAATATTAAGCTAAGCTCAGGCTATAAACCAAATACGCCAACGTCACACCATTTTCACTAATGTCTTTGTTTAAAAACATTTTTCCTGAAAGCTTGAGTTATAATAGTTTGCAAGGGTGTGATTATAAACACAACAAGGCTTTGAAAGTGGACTAGTGAGTAAATGAGTTTACCTGTTCAGCTGTTCATCCCAGACAACCTTTTTAGCCCCATTTAGCCATTTGTTAGCAACCTTTTTTCCCAGTAAAAGCTTTAAAAAATCACAAGAAGGTATTTCTGATATATCATAGGATAAAACGTGGAAATATCTTGTTTTCACCACAGACCTTATTTCAAGCATTTTACCAACTTGTTTCTGGGTTCTGGCCTACAAAAATACATCATCCCTGCACTACTCTATATTATACTAAAGCAGGGGGCGGGAATCTATTTGACACTCCGTGGTCTTTCAACTGCTACTAAGTACAATGTATATTTCTATGAGCAGAAAGCGACAAAAAAGCAGATCAAATTACAACACTGGGATGGGCGACTACACCTATGCCATGCCAATGCGAACACACCTGCCTAAAGTTGCGGGCCACATCTAGAGGGATTTGTATATGAAGTCACAAAATAAATAGTGTTTTTTGTATAATCAGTATGTAAGATGCTTTTCCTCAATCTGAGCATGTTCGTGTTCAGATTAAATTAACACTTCACCCAGCTAAGATAGGTGACAATTAACTGATAACATGAAGCACTGACACGTACAACCTATTTTTACACTAGAAGTCTGTTGACTTCTGTATGATATGCATTTCCTAAAGATGTTCTCAAATTTCAAACAACTGAAATTTGTATTTATTTTAAAAAAGCAGAATCCTTGCACAAAAAAACCCAGTCTGAGGTCACATTCAGTAGCTTAAGGCAAATATGTATGTGCGTGTTCATTCTTGCCATGTGGAGTCGCAGTGTAAGATTTATTTATAACTGGCAATGTGTGAATTGAGCATCTAGTGATTCACCTCCTAATGTGAACTTCTGTTCGTCATAATGAACGAAGCCAAAAAAGCATCCCTGTTCTTCAATGAGTGCCAAGATAATGTGATAACTCATAATTTCATCATTTCAAAGTTTATCACAATCAGTTAATTTATTTTTTCTCAGAATGAAGTTGTTTATTGATTTATACACGCTATCGTTCAAAAGTTTGTGGTCAGTACGTTTATAATGTATAATTTCTATTTATTAAAATATTGTAGTTTCCAAGGAGCAGGACTGTTTTAACCTTGATCATTTCAAGAAATGTTTCTTGAGCACCAAAAATGTAACCAAGTAATATTTCACAATATTACTATTTTACTGGTTTTTTTTATTATCAAATAAATTTACTAAACCTTTGATCAAGTGTAGATTAAAGTAGTTTGATTTAATGTTTATGAATTTGAATTATTCATTCAGTCTTAATTATAATTTGAGAATGGATATTTTATATAAACCTACTCGCTTCATTTCTCTCAAAAGAAATGAATGGTGAACAGCCTTTCTGCGACTGTACTTTCCTTGTATGACTGTACATATCTGAGGATCTCACGTGTATCTTGTATGTGCAGGCATGTTTGGCCTGGTTTTTGGGATCTTCGGGATGTTGGCATACGATGGAGACAGAGTCCAAGAACATGGAATGTTCCAGGGCTACAACACGCTGACCTGGATTGTGGTTGCTCTTCAGGTGAGCCTTGTGAAATCTTGTGAAGTACAAAAGTTTACGTGTCAGTCAGAGTTAATAACTGCTTCTTATACTACAGGGCTGTTGAATGCTTGATTCTGATTGGTTGAGAACATTCTAAGGTGTGCAATTATTTTCAGGTAAACGCACGGCTAAAGTAGTTTCAGGCAGGATTGACCGCATTACAGTTCCATATTACTGCGGGTAGTTAACTGTAATAACGGAAAATAGGATACAATTCATAACAAACATGCAGCCCCATGCACTTGATCGGCAATTTTCGATGTCTAACTTCACATACAATTTAATTTTAATAAATAAAGTATGTAGTCCAATCTATAATAGGCTAAACAGAAAATTAAACTGAATAGGCTATATAAAGACATTGATAGTCCTGCTGCACGGATTTTCGTAATTATTCCAGGTAATATAACAAATAATAATTATTGATTGGCCTACTTGTTAAAAGGGCTTTGTGTGTTTCATTTTTGGGTCATCTACTGTCAATTATGGAAAACAAGAATGAACAAATTAATTAAAACGAATTTAATAAATAGATAAATAATAATATTGACGCACATGCTTTTCTGTCTCATTATTTCGACATTTTTCTAATAACTGCATAAAGCCAGGACACATTTAGGCCTACTAAGGCCAGTTATGAATGTAGTTTGATACTTATGACTGATCATGCCCAAATGCGTTCAGCACGTTCAGTCTGTGTTCACAGTTGGTGTTTAAGACCTGCTACAGTTGATGGACAGTCGGTCTTTGAATATTTCAGCGAGTCGTAAGTGTGTCCCCCATCATTAGTCTGCTATCAGTGGCTCAAACCTCCGTTACTACCTCTGAAATGACATTTTGGAATTGGCAACGGAGGCATGGGATTAGATGCGTAAGAAATTTGTCCTACACACAAGAGCGTTTTAATGACGAAAACTTGACAAACGTCTTGAAATGCATCATCTGAAGTGAACAATGTTTTTAGGTGTGGTAACTCTATTATAAGCGGAATAATTGACTTCAGGCCATTGAATTATTAGAAAAATGGTGCACACCCGAGGTTCAATTCAACGGCCTCTCGTCAATTATTCCTTGCATCATTAACAGCGAACAGGAAGCCAACGCAAGCTTTTCTCCTGGAACAATATCAATTGATTATTTGTTTTATTTCACACAGGCTCTTGGAGGACTCGTAATAGCTGCTGTCATCAAGTATGCTGACAACATACTAAAAGGCTTCGCTACATCACTCTCAATAATCCTCTCCACATTAATTTCATATTTCTGGCTTGAGGACTTTGAGCCTACTAGGTAAAAAAGAAAATGTGATCAATAAATGCTTTATAATGCTTTTAATTGAAATTAACTGTTTTTTTTCTCTCCTGCGCAGCGTGTTCTTCCTGGGCACAATATTCGTCATGATAGCGACGTTTCTCTATGGTTATGAGAACAAGCCGGCAACCAACCCAAGCAGAGCATGATAAATGGATGGATGATGTGAAAGTGGAGTGGAACAAAGGGATGAGACGAGTGGAAGGACGGAGAGGAGGCGTAGAGAGCGGAAAAGGATTGATTCAAGGTTGGATAACAAGCTGGGCCACTGCTGTGCAGTGCTGAGCTGAAGCACACTGGGTGAAATGCTTTGGGCCTGTGGTTTCAGTGAAACTCGTTTAGCTTGAAAACATTCATCATCGCTAGTCTCATTAGTGGGTGATGGATAAAAACACTTCGTAACGTGCCATCTTCAGCTGATTCTGGATGAGCTGAGAGCTTTTTTTGGATCATGACTTGAGCAATGAACTCGTTTGGCTCTTCTCAATCATTGGCTGCTTTTGGATCGCTAATACGCCACAAATGAAACTTGAATCTCGCATTAACTCGCCAATGGATATTAGGCTACTAATGGGGTTGTTGCATCACTGTATTTTTGTGTTATTATTCAAACTGCTTGCGTCCTACAAAAATATATTTTATGTTATTTTAATAGACTGGGATGCTGGGTTAGATTCCGTGCCATAGAAATTGAGGGAATGATGTACCTTTTGTGAATATGATGTAAACTTTTTGATATTATTATAATGAAATGATAATAACAAGGCTTATGACAATGAGGCTAGCCGGTCAGTTTGCGGGATATGGTGATTAAAAATTATTTTACGGATGACCTCTGTCACCAGGCAACAAAGTACGGAGCCCTTAAAGGGACATGTTGATGGAAAAAATATTATTCAATGCTGTAACATTTGCTCAAATGTTTTGCGTTCCCCTGAGAATCAGATTTTGTGAACGAACATATAGTTTCTCGAGGGAACGCAAACATTTTGCGAGAGACCGCAAAAGCATTGACAATTTTCCTTCCCATCTCATATCCTTTAGGGGCTCTGTAACAAAGAATACTTGAGTTTCTCCATTATATATGCAAGGAAGTGCTTTTTTGGTGACTTTGCGCAATATGTGAAGCTATATTGGTATCTGGTGATGAGTAATAATAAATCAGGTGTTTAATTATATTCCTTTTGTTTTTTTTCAAACAATACATACATTTTCACCATGGCAGCACAAAATTTAAATGAAAGAGGTTTGGCATTTGTTTCAAAAGGTGTAAAAACAATGCATGCAATCACAGCTTGCAAAAGGTAATTGATTAAAAAGGCAAAAAGGTTTTTCTGTTGTTACATACTGTTGGCCATTCAGATCTATGTTTTTGTGATCAGTCAAGAGGATGCTCTATCTGTCCGAGTCCTTCAAAACACACTGAATCACAAAAACAATAAACTTTACAGTGACCTCTGAAGACCAGCATCGGTAATGTTGTTTTTGAAGTCCGTGCATCAAATATGGCATCATAAGTTTAGTTTATACAATTTCAATGGCTTTAATGCTCAGGCGAACTGATTCATTTTTGATAATCAAGCAGTCACTCCACTGTAATTTGTGCTGGCGCTGCATGGATACTCGTGAGGAGGAAGAAGAGGGTGCTTCAAAGAAGAAGGTGGTTTTGTTGTGCTTTCCTGTCTGGATGTATGTTCGTTATCTCAGTAGAAATGTCCGGACTCGGGATAGTTTGCACCTCTCTAATGAGTAGCGGTGGGAGTTGGGTGTTTTCAGCACTGGTCAAATCTTTCTGTTGCACTCCCTCGATTCCCTCGCTACAAGATGAGCTGACAAGTGAAATTGTAGAGAGCTCCAGACATTCTTCAGCTTGGAGCTTAGAAATTCAAGCAGGCAAAGTCCTGTCATTTCCACTTCAGCAGTATTCGCAGTCCAGGTTATGCTCTGTGGAACTGAAAAGTATGATATCTCTTCTTTTGCATGCTGAATAGCAAATATATCTGACAGTTGGGGCTTTCTGTTTCCTTCAAATGAACTTTGAATGAAACCAATTAAGTTGAAAGGCTATACTGAATTCTGTTGTACACCTTCTGAAGTCATACATTCATTCACAACCGTTTCTCTTGTTTTGCTATACAAGTAGCATATAAAGCTTGCTGCTCTGTCTTAGAAGGTTTACACTTAAAAAGAACTTTAAAAGAAAAGGTTGGAGTTAAATTATCTATAAATAGTTTAATTGTCTGTAATACTCTACCCAAAAACAAACATTAAAATTCTGCCATCATTCACCCTCATTGTCTTCCATTGTATGGACAAAAAAAAAATCTCAAAATATTTTTATGTTCCACAGAAGAAATAAAATCAATCAGGTTTGGAATGACATTATGGTTATTACATTATGAATGTAATTTTTTGGTGGAGTGCCCTTTTACGTATACCAGAAGAATGATTTATTCATCTTCATCCTTGAGGTTTTAAAGCAGTTGTCAATTGCTTTAAAATTGTCTACAATATCATTATTCCAAACCTGTTCGACTTTTTCCTTAGTGGAATGTAAAAGAACAACTTTTGAAAAATGCTGTGTTTTTTCTTCGTCTATACATTGAAACATATGGAAGCATATTGCATTCACTTGAAGAAAAAAAAATCTACTCTGTTTTTTCTGAATTAACAAGTTAATTATCTCAGAATTGTGAGAATTTTTCATGGTTTTTCAAGTTTTTGCTCAGTTTTTCTGATTTAACGAGTTAATTTTTCATGAGAAAAAAATTTGCCCTGTTTTTCTGAATTAAAAAAAATTCCATGAAAAATTAACTTGTTAATTCAGAAAAACAGAGCAAAAACTTTTTTCCTCATGAAAAATTAACTCGTTAATTCAGAAAAACAGAACAAAAAAAATCCATGAAAAATTAACTTGTTAATTCAGAAAAACAGAGCAAAAACTTTTTTCCTCATGAAAAATTAACTCGTTAATTCAGAAAAACAGAACAAAAAAAATCCATGAAAAATTAACTCGTTAATTCAGAAAAACAGAACATTTTTTTTTCTTCAAGTGAATGCAATATGCCTCCGTAGGAAGTCAGTGGTGTCCAATGTAGTTTTGTTTCATTGGATGGACAAAAGCATTCTTTAAAATATCTTCTTGTGTCTTCTTCACACAAGTACGGAAGCCCTGAACCGCAACCAAAAAAAAAAAAAAAATCAGTAAAAAAAAAATCTGTAAAAAAAAAAAATCTGTAAAAAAAAAAAAAAAAAAAAAGTAGCATTTAAAGTCGAAATGTTTCGAGATTAAAGTCGAAATGTTTCGAGATTAAAGTCGAAATGTTTCGAGATTAAAGTCGTAATGTTTCGAGATTAAAGTCGAAATGTTTCGAGATTAAAGTCGAAATGTTTCGAGATTAAAGTCGAAACATTGTGCATTCATAACAGTGCGCGTCCACTGGCTCAGAGCGCGCGCGTGTGTGTGTGTGTGAAGTCGAACTGCCATGGATAAACCCAAAATAGTAGCTTTTTACTTTTATCTGGGCTTTCAACAAAATTCTACACACGTCACACGTGCTAGTGGCAGTGTTTCTGAGGTGTTTTCGTGCTCGTCTAGTCAAATTTGGGTCGAGAACACAACAGTAACTGTTCGGTCTCCCTCTTCACCGTAAATACGCTCTGGATACATTTTAAGTGTATCATTCTGTATCCAATCATTTGGCCGGATCCTGTGATTTCCTAAGATTTAATAACCACTTATGGTTGAGGAGAGATTCTCTGATATGATTGTAAAGCACTTTGAGTGTAGGCATATATGAAAGCGCTATATAAATGCCCTATTCATTCATTCATTCATTCATTCATTCATTCATAAAGCTGGATTTCTCCATCCAGTCTGAAAAGTGTTTTCCGTGTTTGTTTTCCTATAGGCTAAAGTCTATTCCGGCGCATTATATTTTATAACGATAAAGTAAGATAAGTAGCCTAATTCAGATAAAAGTAAAAAGCTACTATTTTGTGTTTATGGCAGTTCGACTTCACGCGCGCGCTCTGAGCCAGTGGACGCGCACTGTTATGAATGCACAATGTTTCGACTTTAATCTCGAAACATTTCGACTTTAATCTCGAAACGTTTCGACTTTAATCTCGAAAAATTCCGACTTTGATCTCGAAACATTTCGACTTTAATCTCGAAACATTTCGACTTTAATCTCGAAATGCTAGATTTTTTTTTTTTTTTTACAGATTTTTTTTTTTTTTTTTACAGATTTTTTTTTTTTACTGACTTTTTTTTTTTTAGGTTGCGGTTCAGGGCTTCCGTACACAAGGAACGAAAGTCATCAAATTTGAAATTATTTTGTAATTATGATATTTTTATTTATTTATTTTTTTTGAATGAACTGTCGCCGTAAGTGTCTCAATGGCCATTCGAGAACCAAGCATCTCTTAAAAGGCAGAAGTGTGGATTTAAGGCAAATTTTTAATTGAAAACTTTCATGTTTTCCCACAACCTGCTACTTGGAGGGGATCACCACTAATGGCGGTCCTCGCTTGGGCCTCCACATTAGCACTTGGGCGTCATTAGCATTAGGTTTGCCCAGAGCTTTAAGGGGGATCGGCTCCATATGAGTCAACACCTTGGGCTGGTCCTGGTACACCCGGCCGGTGAGTCTGGCTCGAGATCCCAGTGGCTTGGAGGAGTCCACGGTGATGTCCACTTTCATCCTCCACTTCACTGTCTGCAGGAGGATCTTCTCCTGCGTGGCCATATTCAAAGCCACCAGCCAAGTGGTGAAGCTCTGGTCGCGTTTGATCCGCGTGAGCAAAGGCACGTTGCTCTCGCTCACCGGTACGGCCCATGTTACGCTGGGGTAGAAGTTATCGTTCATGCTGACAGAGAAGCGTGTGGGTTTGGATGCGGGGCCGGAGAGAGTCACCGTTTCCGTCGTGTTTCCGTACCACGGGTAACTCACCCCGTCTGAGTCGCTGATGGCCTTAACCAGTCCTTCTCGTAACTCTGGCAGCTCCCAGCTTGACCTGCGGAAATGAACGTTTAGAGGTGAAGCAAACAAACACGGTTGTGCTGTTGAATGTATGCTGTATGTGAAAGAAGGCGCTGAGTCCAAGTGTGCAAATGATAATTGTGGTTAAGGATGACATTCATTATCAGGGTCCCAGCTGCCTGTGTGAAATCAATGACTCTGTGTGAGAGGACATTAATGTGGCTGGGTGTTATTAGGTATGACCCCATGCTGGCATTTCTTCTTTGGTACAGCACCATCTGTGTCACAGTAAACCCCACGCAACCACCCGCTCAGGCAGCAATGCACACCCCCACACACACATGTCCACACCTCCACACAGACAGACCCCCCAGGCAGCATCAGAGGAGCCCACATCACACGTCACAGGGCTTGTGGGTGGGTGTGAGAATGTCTCTATCTCGTCTGATGCGCTGTGTAGATAATTGCATTCGCCTGCAAAACTAAACTGTTTAGTGCAACCACGCTGATGTTTCAGAGCAGCTATTCTGTTTTTATCTGCTGCCTCTCCCTGTCTGATCCAGTGACAGGCTGTGAAACTCATTTGTGGGAGTATAAATGAAAGCAGAGACTGATGAAGGTGCAAACACTCCTCCCCTTAGGCACTGAGCTGATGTATGCATACTCTCTGAATATAAATCACTGCTGCACTGAAGTCGTCCTTTGCCATACACTATTTAAAGCCATAATTGAAAAGCCTAATATAAATGAAAAATTAACTCAATAGATGGGTCTGATTTTTTTAGAGTCAATTTATACAAAGATGATTTGAATGTGATCAACTTTTTTTGAGTGAAGAGTGGTGTGACTGTCCAGAGGTTGTGGGAAAATAATGAAAAAAGTATCCTAAAAGGCTTAAATTCTTGACTGTAGAAATGTTGACAAGCAGTTTGGCATTTTTTTTTTAATGAATATGCTTTTGTTCTGGTAAAGGCATCGATTTGATTTAAAGAAAGTTTTAAGAAAACCAAAAAAATATATATTTTTTTTATCAATAGGATGTTTTGTTCCAGTCAGCATGAGTAACTTTAAGAAAAATACTGGTTCATAATTCATGACTCAGATGACTTACCTGTATTCAACATTCAAGTAGGTTGATGGCTATTTTGGAGTCATTTAATTCGAATTAGGCTAATTGTTTTTCAATAATTACAGACATACTTGGCATAATAAGTAAGAACTTAGCACATTTGTTTTAAACTAGATTTTTAAAAACTTTTATAATCTCTGACATCCTTATTAGCCACTGACCCAGATAAGTGATTGCTTATCAGTGGCTTAATTCCCATATTTTTAGTTAATTTTGTGAAGAGCAAGGGCATAAAAAGCATAAAACATGCACCAGGCTTACATGCCGAGGTCTCCATAAGTGTTGTAAAATTCCATTTGAGTGCAGGCTTGAATCCAACCCACAACCCATGTCTCATTTCGAGGGATCGGCGGCATTACTATCCGGGCGGAGGCCTTGAAGTACGGGGTTCTGTAGCGTAGCACTATGGGTGAATTCTCCTCGATCACTGTCGGACAATGGTCAATAGTAGCAGACACGTCATAAACAACGATGTTCTCGCGTTTGATTCGGGGCTTGCAGGCGACACTCTGAAGGCAACCCATGGCTGGAGAGGGTCAGAATCAGGGTAATCGGCCAACCAACCAAGTAGGGTGTTTAATACTTTCAAATGTCCGGAAAAACGCGTCGATATAAGCTCATGTACAGTCCACGCGCCCAAAATAGTTAGGCTATTTTCAATAATAAAAAAATCAACAACAAGACATAAACGGGTGTCAATCAAAAGCACGTGCGTTCCCCCAAGTCAATGCCATTTAGATATGATCAACAGGTAGGCTATCAAATAACTCTCTAGTTACTCGGGATCAACAACAGGTTGCAAGACCTCCGACCATCTCTTGATCTTCGGTGTGCCCATGCTTTGATTGTCACTCGCGATCGGGCTTAAGGGTTGTTTTGGGCTCCCACTTCAATCTGATATGTACCCTTTCAAATCCGCATGGCCTTTTACAGCTCTTCGCCCTTTCATCCGTTTCTTTCTGGTCCGAGTTTTCATGTCACAACCGGAGGAGGCAGGGCAAAAGCAGTCAGGTGTGGCGGACCGCTCGCCTCGACAAGAGCTGGTCGCGATTCTGTTTTTCTCGATTGATGTTGGCGCTTTCGGAACAACAGACAATCTTAAAGTATTTCATGATTTACGACGGAAGAGGAACCGCGAAAAGTATGTTACACAGCGGAGTTTTGCTCTCGATCACATCACAATTGACGTTCCGTTATTCCGCGTGTATTCCTTCAGTAAACACAGACATCAACACAAACACGCGAGGCGTCCAGATGAGATTGGATAAATCGTTGAAATGTGCACCATCAAAACGACTGCTATTCAGCTTTTAAATAAACCGTTTCCTTGTCCGTTGTTGATGTGCACGGCGTGGTCGCTGTTCTGTTGCTGTGGTGCTGAATGAACGGTCAGAGGCGCGTGGGAGTACCGGTGCACATTATAGCCCTCCTCACGTAGAGCTACACTCAGTTCATCATATAGAGCTCTCCGTTTAACAAAAGCAGGAAAAAACGATGTAATGCAATCATGGAATAGCTTATGAAATGCATGACTCAAGATTGATGTACACCGAGGTTGAATCTGTGTTGATAATGTTGGATCTTATGAAATCCTTTGTAATAGGCTATTCGTAATTCTTTTGTAATAGTATTACTTATGCAGGCATATGGATAGGGCTACACGATGTTGAACACATAATGATGTCTTTTCCGATATAGTTGGCTTGTGTAACACAAATTGGTTGATCTTGCCATATGTAAAATTGGGAGAAATTTTTAAAAACAATAGGTAGGCTAGGGTGGGGATGTCATAAAAGTAGAATAGTATTTTTTCCATACACGTGTATAAACCTCGTTTCACGCTTTTTTTTAAATCGTTGACTTTTAAGCCTATAGCTATAAGGGTCGACAAAAGACGAGAAAGAAACTTCAGCGTAAGAAACTTCAAGGGATAGTTCAGAATTTTCACGTAAATGAAAATTCTATCATGAATTATTCAGCCTCATGTCGTTCCAACCCCGGAAGACTTTCATTCATCTTTGGAACACAAATAAAGATCTTTTCAAATGAAATCGGAGAACTTTCTGTCTATTCATTGACAGCTACGCAACTGACACTTCGAAAAGTTAAAGGAGTAGTTCACTTTTAAAAAAACTTTTGCTGATAATTTACTCACCCCCCATGTCATCCAAGATGTCCATGTCTTTCTTTCTTAAATAAATAGAAAAGAAATGAAGGTTTTTGATGAAAACATTCGAGGATTTTCTCCATATAATGGACTTGAAAGGTTCAAGGTCCAAATGAGAGTTTCAGTGCAGCTTCAAAGTGCTTTAAACAACACCAGACGATGAATAAGGGTCTTATGTAGCGAAACGATCGGTCATTTCAAAAATACAAAAAAGTTTAAGTTTTATAAGCACAAATGCTCGCCTTGCTCTGTTCTGTGATGAGCGTTCGTGACTCTCCTGTTCAAACTCGTTCATCAAAATGAACAAATCTTTTTTCGAGTCATGACTCGAAGGGTCCTAGATAAGACCCTTATCCATCGTCTGGTGTCGTTTAAAGCCCTTTGAAGCTGCACTGAAACACTCATTTGAACCTTGAACCGTTTGGTTCCCAATGAAGTCCATTATATGGAGAAAATCCTGGAATGTTTGCATAAAAAAACCTTAATTTCTTTTCAACTGAAGAAAGAAATACGTGGACATCTTGGATAACATGGGGGTGAGTAAATTATCAGCAAAAGTAAAAAAAAATTTTAAAAAGTAAATAAATCGTAAAACTAATGAATTAAGCGGTTTACTCCAATTTTTTTGAAGAGACACGATCGTTTTATGAAGAGATTTAATTTGGACTTTTATTCACATTTAAACATTTATCAACAGACCTAAACCAGCTCATCTGAACCTGTCTGGCGCGAGAACAAACCTCATTGGTTCTTTTAGAAGCTCAAGCTGCGTAACTGGTTCTCGCACGTCCATCAAACCAGTTTGAGCTTAAATTTACCACAACTGCTGTGTGAGGTGATGAATGTTGATGTTAATAAAAGCCTCAATTAAATCTTAATCATATAAAGTGATCGTGTCTCTGAAAACACACCTTTGACTAAACGGCTTAATTCAATATGGATTCCTTTAACAATCTCTTCGTTCACTTTTGGAAACGTCAAAGAAGTTCCCAAACAACATTAGGGTGAGTAATTTATGGGAGAATTTTAATTTTGGGGTGAACTTCATTAAGCGATTGCGCCAGAGAAAGCACGCACCTGCGTAAACCTTAAAGATAAACATTTATGCTCCAAGTCAAGAGAGCTCAAGATACAAAATGCAATTTCACTGCTAACTTTAAGAGCAACATTTTCACTTGTAGAATTCTTGAATATAATAATTAGTTTTTGTAACTTTGATCCATATTTAACCTCCACTTCTCTCTTACATATTAGGCTAACACAGGAAGATTATACAGCGCGAGAGACATGTTCCGCTTCTTAATTGGTGGCTTTCCGTGTTACCATGACAACCAACATAGACGGACTGTCGTCACTAAGGCCTATCTCATGTCAAATTTATCCGTCAGGGAAACATCACTGTGAAAATTGGCTGGTATCTTGTTAAGAGCGTGTGAGGTGAGAAGATGATGATGGTGATTAGTGAATCAGAACGCGGCCTGGAGAGTAAAGTGCAGATTTGACACATTGAACGTGTAGCCTACAGGTGTAGCCTATGTGACATCAGAATGACAGCCGACTGCCTCTTTAGATCATGCTTTGTTGTTGTTTTTTCCTCATTTTTAGTTGCTTTAAATAAAAAAAGTTGTAAATGTAAATGACTATCTCCCTATTCGTTTTTCTAAAGCATGAGGATGAGCATCACACAAAAGAACTTTAGGATGCCTTCTCTCATTTCATTATTTTATTTAAGTCATGTGACATTAATATGAAAATATCTGATAGGAATTATACTAGTCACGCAGTCTGTTTCAAGAACACTAAGCACCACACAAAAAAACGGTCAAAAAGTAACTTTTATGTTTTATCTGGTTTCCTTGTCTTATTTATTGTAGCCTTGTATTTTTATCATGCCATGTCTCTCAAGCACAGTCTGCATTTACCAAATTTTCCAGCAGAGGGAGATATTGCTTGGATTTTCTGGTATGTGTAGGTGGTGTGAAGTGCACTCTTTCATACACACTTTCTTTTCTTTTCTTTTTTTATTTTATTGTTTTAATGCATAAAAATGTTTGCGACGTCTGCAGTTCCGTTACCAGAATTTTATCATGTGAATCTATTTTTAAGTCGTTAAAAAAATAGCATAACATAGGAATAACATTTCTTTATTCAAGTTGTTTCTTATGTCCTCTGTAGTAGACACCAGGACCCATTTATTAAGAACATTTAAAAGGCGCGAATAGGCAAAAACAGTTTTTTATTTTTTTATATTCAGTAATTAATGTTTAGGTTTCAAGTTTTTTTTTATCCAAACAATGTTACGAAAGATATAGCAGACTGGTTTGATATGCCATTTTACTTTATGCAATATGTGGGCCATAACAAGGCCATACGTGTCATTCCCATTCTATGCAATGTGTCTAATTTGCATATTTAATGTTTTCTAGGGGAAACATGTAATGAAAAAAGACTTGTAATAATGAGGGCAGTAATGGGGAATATTTTCATAAGAATATCTCACATTTCATATGAATATTGATATATACTTTCTATCCCTATTCACTTGTTGTGTCTCCAAAATGCCTGATATGCCATGCTGCAAGTCCTGATGTCCACTAGAGAGGTCATGTATGAAATAGATGCCCTGTTTAAAAGAAAACCATATTCAGAAATGACAGATTTAATTACTGATAATTACAAAATAGTATATTTTAATAAGAAAAGACCAATGAGGGGGAGTTTTCATGGTTATACCTCTATACATTTGGTATCTCTGCAAAGCCTATTACTTGTGCCTATTACAGGACATCCAGACTTAAAACTTCCACATGTATGTTGTCAGAGCAATGTGCTAAAATGTACAACCCGAATTCCAGAAAAGTTGGGACGTTTTTTAAATTTGAATAAAATTAAAACTATACGACTTTCAAATCACATGAGCCAATATTTTATTCACAATAGAACATAGATAACATAACAAATGTTTAAACGGAGAAATTGTACACTTTAGTCCACTAAATGAGCTCATTTCAAATTTGATGCCTGCTACATGTCTCAAAATAGTTGGGACGGGGACACGTTTACCATGGTGCAACATCTCCTCTTCTTTTCAAAACAGTATGAAGACGTCTGGGCATCGAGTTTATGAGTGTCTGGAGTTTTGGTGTTGGAATTTGGTCCCATTCTTGCCTTATATAGGTTTCCAGCTGCTGAAGTGTTCGTGGTCGCCTTTGACGCATTTTTCGTTTAATGATGCGCCAAATGTTCTCTATAGGTGAAAGATCTGGACTGCAGGCAAGGCCAATTCAGAACCCGGACTCTTCTACGACGAAGCCATGCTGTTGTAATAGCTGCAGTATGTGGTTTTGCATTGTCCTGCTGAAATACACAAGGCCTTCCCTGAAATAGACGTTGTCTGGAGGGGAGCATATGTTGCTCTAAAACCTTTATATAGCTTTCAGCATTCATAGTGCCTCCCAAAACATGCAAGCTGCCCATA